GCGTGTGTGCATGTGTTCCCTAAATCCCAAGAGAAGAATGAAGGAGGAGAGATTGCAGTGTGGTCACCCCCTCTGGGTGTGTGTTTTCTCACTTTCAGTCTGTCTTTGTCTCTCCGGTTAGCACATATGCACTATACCAAAAATCTCTTTAAAAAAAGAAAGATTACAATCTGGGGCTAGCAGTGGTGTCGTGGTTAAGGCACTGGACCCCATATGACTGACACTGGTTCCCACACCACCAGGTGGCCTGAGAATCACTTCAGGGATGCGCGCTCATAGGCCCCTAAAATCCTGAGACATGGTCATCACTCTTTCTCTCTGGCACAAACCCTATGGCAAAAAATCTTCAAAACAAAAAAGCAAAACATTACAACCTGATTGCTACTGTGACTTTTCTTTTTTTTTTTTGCAGAGGTTTTTGCTTAGGGTGTATACACTTCTCGGGAGTGTGGTCAGAGACAGAGGGAAAGCGAGGAATCACCTTCCGAGGAGGATTGCCAAATTGCAATCCCTTCTCCATTCTCCTGGGGTCTTGGGCATGCACACAAACCTGGTATGAAGTTCAAGCAACCTGTCTGGGACTTGAACCACAGTAAACCATGTTGGAGTCCACTGACATAACCACTATGCCATCTCCTGGCCCCCTGGCAGCTATCTTAAAGAGAGCTGGAGGTAGAATTTTTTTTTTAAAGTGCTATAGCTCTTCTTTTTCCTCTTGCCTTAAGCCAGGGGATTGGTAAAGAGTTTCTACCTATTTTCTTCTTAACTGGGGCTCCTGACATTTCTCAGCCTTTTAGATGATATGACTTCCATACTGTCTTCCTTTTTTAGCCTTTATGTTAGCAGTGATGAGACTTTTTTTTTCTCTCTTTTTTTTCAATTTTTTTTTTTTTTTTTTTTGCCATAGGTCACCAGGAGGAGACACAGAAGGAAAGAGAAATCACCCCCTGAGGTGATGTCCACAACTCAGTCCCTTCTCCATTCTCCTCTTGGGATTTGAGGCGTGTATGCACACATGTCCAGCATGATTTTTAAGCTACTAGGCCCAGGACTCAAACCATGGTTGGCCATATGGGAGTCCAGCACCTTAAACACCACACAACCTGCTGGCCCCTAAAAATAATTCTTAGTCTCAATATTTTGTGAGTGATACTGAACCTGGGCATTAAATGTGAAAACAGCCTATGGAACTGCAGAGTAATTATGACCCTATTGGATGCATCCTTCTTTTTCTTTTTTTGGAGAGTTTTTTTTTTTTTTTCTTGCTACAGGGCATGTGCGCTCACCAGAGAAACAGAGAGAGATAGAGAAACAGCAAGAACTCACCCCCCAGGGGGGATGGCCACACCGCAGTCCCTTCTCCTCCATTCTCTTGGGATCTTGATCACACACGCACACACGCCCGTTGTAAATATAAGCCACTGGATCCGTGACTTGAACTGTGGTCGACTGCATGGGAGTTCAGTGACATAGCCATTACACTAACTGCTGGTCCCAAGGATGCATCCTTCTTATTGGGTGCATCCTGTTATGATACATATTAAAATACTCATGAATGAAAAATCTGAGGACCTATCATGACCTATTTAGGGGAAATATAAGGAAGAAATAGTGAAGCTTTCTGGTAATGTTTGCAGTCTTGTTAGAGTAGAGAGGTAATCAGTCTTTTGGTCATTTGTGTAAGTTTTCATTCTGTTAACTTATTTATGTCACTTGCAAAATTTTAACCTTAAGTTTTCCCAAGCCCTATACGATGATAATACCATTTCATAAAATTTGTGAAAGTTTTAAATAAGGTGACGTTTATAAAGCACTTAACCCAGTGCCTAGAATGCAGTGGGGTTCATTAAATAATACCATAGCATTCTACACGCAGTAGTAGCACAGGCTTTCTTTTTGGAATTTACCATTTCAGTTCCCAGTAAATTGCTTCTGTACTAGAAGTCTTCATAAAAGTTCAATTTGAGATTATAACTCTTGTTACTCAAGTTATACTCACTCAGCTTGAAATTTCAGGAATCTATTTAACTCTTTGCAGTTACCGTCTAGTTTTGCTCCCTCTGCCTTCTCCACCTCTTGATAACATAGTAGGACTAAAACTTCAACTAGCAGGCTCAGTGCCCCATTCCTAACCAGTCAGAAGTAAGGCAAATCTTATTAAGGGTGTGATTGCTTCTAGTCTGGTAGAGTTTTTAATTAGTGCTCTATGGCATAATTGCTTAGACTTGATTTTACCCCATACATAAAGTGCTAGTATAATGTCTGGATTTTTAAAAATGTGACTTTTTAACAATTGACCAGGGCTTAATCAATTGGGGAGTTCTTGAATTGGAGTAAGGTATAGTGATTTAGAATAACATGGGATCTGGGAGACCTGAATTCAAATCCTATGTCCACTATTCACTAGCTGTGTGATCTTGGTCAGTTTATTTAATTGCTCTATATTTTCTTTTCCCTACCTATAATAATATAGACAAGAATTCTTACCTCACAAGATTGTCTGCTTACTCATTGGGTCTGATGTTGATCAGGTACTCATACAGCGACCACTAAAAGTTAAGCACTGTATTAATAACAAGTTAAACATCAAAACAGCACACATCCTTGGCTGCTAGTTTCTTGTTCATTAAGGAAGATTCACAGAGACAGACAAGTAGCAGTCACTTGTTTTCCAGACATATTCTTTGAGGGATGCGCAGAGATTTAGCAGGACCGGACATCAGCTATGGAAGAGGAACTGTCATATTTTGGTTGTGGGGCTTTTTACTTGCATAATGTAAGTGTCCCTATATAAGGGTTAGATCACAATAGCAATAGGCCATGGCCAGACCTTATTTCTAACCATCCTGTTACTCATAGCCGTGGCAGGAGACTTAAAGGAATTGAGACCTTGATTGTATCTGTCTCTGTTTTGAAACCTGTTAGGAAGGGGACAGCCTCCTAGTGGAAGTTTTTGGTCAGCCCAGCTATGGGGAGCTGGAAAATGCAGAGGCAGTAGAAGATTAATGGCTATCAAGATGTTACTGTGAATAACACCTTTCCTGAGGTGTTGAGAGACTGAGGTCAATGTTTTGCAGTGGAAGCTGTATGACATAGCAAACCACTGGTAGCATGTGCTATGTCAGCATTCATGATTGGGAGCTCAGCTGACATCATAGTTGTGGGGACAACTCTGGTCCAAGCTGTGCAGCTGGCCTTAGAAAATGGGCCATCAGCAGTTTCCAGGGAACTATGTAGAAGGCCAAACATTTTCTGAATGGCAGATCTGCTGGGAATTAGTTTTGAACAAGTTCATCATTACCTCTTAACTAAGCATTAGAGACACATTGATGAGCAAAGACATTGTTAATCCTCAAAGGTGTCATGCTCAACAAGGAAGATAGACTTTGGTTAAGTTATACAAAAAAATGTAAAATTTTAACTATGATGAACACAATGAGAGATTCATAATGATATGATTAAATTAATAAAGATTTGGTGTAGTGCAGCACATCAGAGAATGCATCTTTAAATGGTCATTGAACTCAGATACGAAGGTTGCCATGACATGAGAGATTATATAAAAAGCATGTAACCTATTGGAAGTCTCAATGATTAGAGACTGGTTTTCTTAATGCTATTCTCTTTTAACATCGAGAGGGTTAAAGAACACAGCTGAATCACTAACAAATATTAAGATGGCATATCCTCTGATTAGAAATGAGAAACACCGGGACCAGCAGTTGGCGTAATAGCTATGTCGCTGGACTCCTATGTAGTCAACTGCAGTTTGAGTCACAGACCCAGTGGCTTAAACTCACTCCGGGTGCGTGTGTGTGCATGTCCAAGATCCTGAGAGAAGAATGGAGGAGAAGGGATTGTGGCGTGGCCATCCCTCCTGGGGTGTGGGTGTGGGGGGATTTCTCAGTTTCTGTCTCTGTCTCTTTCTGGCAAGCGCACGTGTCCTATAGCAAAAACTTCTCCAAAAAGAAAAGAAGAAAGAAATGAGAAACACCAAAATGGGAGTCATCAAATAGAAAGAGAATATGAGATCACTAATAAAAAATGAACAGATAAGTGTAGAAGCTGGGAACCAGGCACAGGTTTGCCATATTAATGCCTTGGAATTACTTATATGTGCACTGATACCCTGTTTAAAGTCCCAGAGCCAACCTCACAGGAACAGTCACTCTTTAAAGGTGGAAGGGCTGGACCAGCAGATGCTTAAGGTACTGGACTCCCACGTGGCCAACTAGTTTAAGTCCTGGACCCGGCAGCTTGCTTTCTCACTTTCCTTTCCTCTTTCTCTTTGGTGAGTGCACTTGCCCTTTAGCAAATTAAAAATAATAAATACTATTAAATAAATCTTTCTTTTAAAAAGGTGTAAAGGCTATTTGATTCTGAATGAACGAGGCACTGTTTTTTTCCTTAAGGTACTCAGTTTGATGTGGGTGACATTGTTCAGCCTCTAACTAGAAAACAAAACAGAAAAATGCTATGAGATGGACATGGGCAATGGACTAAGCAAACAGTAACTATGGTTAAGAGAAGACTTTCTGCAGATGGCAAAATGGTTATGTTGGTGGACTCCCATGTAGTCAGTCACAGTTCAAATCCTGAACCCGGTGACATAACATGTGGGGCAGTTGTGTGTGTGTATGTGTGCCCAAAATCCTGAGAGAAGAATGGAGAAGGAATAGCAGTGTGCCATCCCCTCTGTGTGGGTGGGGAGTGATTTCTCACTCTGTCTCTGGGTCTTTCTGACGAGCACACACATCCTATAGCAAAAATCTCTCTAAAAAACAGAAGACTTTCCAGAGGATATGAATATCAAAGTTTCCCCTAAAATAAGGATGCTCTTTATGATGTGTGTGGGTTATGTACTTTACATATAGCTATGTTCATTTGTTTCCCTATGTAGATAATTTGAGGATTTTCCTCGTCTTTGTTGATTTTATTTTACATCTCTAGTAATTTACATGTATTCGATATTTTATTCTATTGTCAATTAGAAGCCATTGAAACATCTGAAGACGTGAATGGTGATCTGAGCTGCACTTGCCTGTTATTACCCCTGGCACTGGAAAGGTAGACCACAGCGGGAAAGGGTGGGGGCAGAGAGCTATCCTATATGTAATCAAGGCTATGATTTTTATGTTTAAAATGACCCTAATGGATTAAGGAACTGGGCGGCTCAGGTGAAGGAAATATGCTTCCTGACACTGAGCATAAATTACCCTGTGAAAATAATCCACTAGATGTCACTAAAGCTTAAGAATTGTATCTTAATGTTTCCAGGTACCTATTTCCCAGAACTGGAGCTCCAGGGCCTAGTGCTTCATGGCTGGGTGGTGCTTCTGTCTGCCTTCTGAACATTATGAGAATGAAACAGAGGCAACCAGAAATCTGCAGCAAATCAGATACCAAACACTGTGTACATTTGGAAAGACCAGAAGGGCATCCAAGTATAGACAAGTATTCAAACTGGTAGGTAAATAACTGATGCTGATTGAATTACCTAACTACTTAGGAAGAAAAATGTGTGTGTGTGTATATATGTATATATGTATGTATATATACATATATATGTATGTTATATATGCAAATACACACATTGTTATATATGAGTTCCAGGTGGATTGAGTTGTTTTTTTTTTTTAAAGTAAGTTTGTTCTCCGGCATATGTGCTCACTGAAGTGACAGAGTGACACTCAGTGACAGAGGGGGAAAGTGAGAAATCATCCCTGGGGAGATGGCCACGACCACAATCACTTCTCTATTTTCCTCTCAGGATTTTGGGTATACATACATACACACACACACACACACAAACACACAATCACAAGCTCAGTGTGGTTTTCAATCCTCCTGGTCTGGGGCTCAAACCATGCAATCAGCCATGTGGGATCCAGCTTTCTTAACCTTCACATCAAGTGCTGGCCTGGATTACCTTTTTTTTTATTTGGTGGTTGATGGGTTTGCCATAGGATGTGTGCACTCTTGGAGAAAGAGACAGTGAGAGGGAAATTGAGAAATCACCCCTTCTCCATTCTCCTCCTGGGATTTTGGGCACATATGTACATGTGCCTGGCAGTTTTCAAGACTTGAACTGTGGTCAGCCGTGTGAGAGTCCAGGGCTCTAACCACTCCGCCAGCTGCTGACCCCAAATTAACTATTTTTTAGGTATGATTTGAAGCAAATTCTTAAGAAAGTTAAGGTAAAATATATATAACAAAATTTACAATTTTAACCATTTAAAATTTTTTTATTTTTTTGGCCAGAGAGTGTTTATGTTTGCCAGAGAGAGAGGAAAAGTGTAGGAAGTATCCCCTTGGGAAATTGCCATGCTATAATCCCTTCTCCTCCATTTCTTCCTCCTTTTGGAATTTTGGGCACACATGTTTATATGCTTGGCATGTTGTTGTTGTTGTTTTTGGAGAGGTTTTTGCTCTAGGGCACATGCACTTGCCAGAAAGACAGACAGTGACAGAGAGGTAGAAAGTGAGAAATCACCCCCCGGGGGGATGGCCATGCTGCAATCCCTTCTCCTTCATTCTCCTCTCGGGATCTTGGGCATGCACGCACACCACCCGGCATGAGTTTAAGCCACTAGGTCCGGGAATCGAACCAGGGTCAACTACATGGAAGTTCAGCAACATAGCCATTACACTAACTGCTGGTCCCCTGGCATATTTTTCAAGCTGCTGGGTCTGAGACTCAAACCATACCATCAGTCACTTGTGATCTGCCGCCTTCACCACCACACCATGGGCCAGCCCCCATTTAAACTATTTTTAAGTTACTCTACCAGTATAGTAGCATTAATTTCATCTTGTTACCATTTATCTATGGAACTCTTCATCTTTGCTTAATTCTTCCCCTTTTTTCCTCCCCTTTGGTCTTTTTAAAAATTATTTTTAGTTTTGTAATTTTTTATTTACATTTAACTACATATATCTTTGTGGGTGGATTAACTTCTTTAATATGGGGTCAGCTGGTGTTGTCGTGGTTATGGCACTGGATCCCTGGTGTGTTTTTCAATGTTTTTGAACTTTATAGTCAGCTATGTGGAATCCAGCTCACATAGCCACCAGGCTACGAGGCTGGTCCTGAAAATTTGATTGTTATGAGCCTTTTTTTCTTCAGACCTTGTTCTATGTTTGGATGAGATTTTAAACTTTCTACTATGATGGACATCTTATAAGATCAGAGACCTGGGAAAATGAATCATTTGCATGATATTTTCAATCAGGGGAATGTTCTTGGACTAGTAATTACTCTGGGCATTTAGATAGCCTGAAAATGCAATTCCACTCTTAAGATACTTGGTGGTTTCTAAGAAAATGTTCAGTACAACAAGGAGAAATTAAGGGGTAAAAGGGTTTGTAACAGGGAACCAGCGGGTGCTCAGGATTGTCCTCTGCCTTCTGTTTACTCATTTAAGAAAGATTAATTCAACATTTGCCAAGCTTGGCTCTGAAAGGTGGAAATGCAGATATAAGATGATGACTATGGTGTCTACCTTTGAGTGTCTCTCAGTCTATTGGGAAGGCAAAGCACAAACTAGCAATTGCTATCTCACATACAGGAGTACAATAAAAACATTTGACACTGGCAGCAGAAAACAAGCTTTTGCTTTGGAATAGAAGGAAGTTGGAGATGAGAGATGAACATAAAAGAAGGTGGATATGATGTAGATTCAGGATAAAGCTATTAAGTGTTTCATTTTATGTCCAGTGAGATTTTTTTTTAAGAGATCCAGTGAGATATTTTTGACAGAGCTCCTAAAACACATCACAAGGATGAATTGAAAAATTGCTCTTTAGAAGCTTGGAAGAAATAACATTGCTCTGACTCAAAGAAGTCATAAATATGAACATTCTGATATACTAAAATTGCAAACTAAGAAGATTAATTTTCACCAAATGGGTTTTATGGCCCCAATAATAATTCTGCTTTATTTATTTTTATTATTTCCAGTGAAGTAAGCACTCCACATGTAACTAATATATTTGGATTAACTCCTCTGTGCTTCATTTGTTTGGGGAAGGATTAGCAACAAAGCTAGATTTATGAGTGTGGGGGAGGGGTGTGCTTTGCTGAAACAATCATCTGATTTTGTACATGCTTCTAAACAGCAATGTTCATAGACCCAAAACGATGCCCAGGAGAGATGGGATGAACTACGCCTCAGCCCGTTAGTGGTAGGAGTGCTAGTTAGTCAAACAATAGCTATAGCATTTAACATAGCAGTAGAGTAGTGCTCAGTCTAGGACTAATCCGGTACTGTGGTAACAAGCACTGTGCTTGGCCCAGTGTGAAGGCCAGATACTATTGCCTCCTAATCATTTTGGGTGGCTTTTTCCCCAGCTTCAGGTAGGTTCCTCACACATGTACAGATTAATACTTGACTAATGCTCTAGGTCAGCCTTGCAGAAGTCTGAAAGTTCCTCTTTCTGTAACCTCTGCTCTCTGGTATTCTGGCCTACATATGGTAGTGGCCCTCTTCCCCTCTACACTCTTGTCTCTGTGTATTCAATTATGTATGTCAGCTACACTCTGCCTAAGTTCCCCTCCCCTGGTTTCAGTAAAATAGACATTTTTAATAGAAAAATATAAATGAGAGAAATAGATTGAGAAATGGGTCAGCTCTGTGGCTTAGTGGTTAAGGGAGCCAGTTCCTGCAGAGCTAAACATGGTTCAGATCTTGGTTTCCATAGCTTGAAAGCCATACCAGGTGCATCTGCTTGCCCCAAATCCTGACAGGATGAGAAATGAAGAAGGAATTATGGCATTACCATGCCCTATTGGTGGACGCTTTCTCCCTCTCCCTCTCTCTGTCTCTTTGGCAAGCACATGAGCCCTGTAACAATTAAAACAAACAAACAAACAAAAAAAACACAAGTGCCAGCATGTGTTGTTGTGGTTACGGTGCTAGATTTCTACAGGGCCAACAACCGCTGTTCGAGTCTCAGACCTGGTGGCTTACTTTCTCACTTTATAGCTCCCTCTCTCTGTCTCTCTGGTGAGCCCATGTGCCCTATAGCAAATTAAAAATAATAATAATAATAAATAAAATTAAATAATAAAAAATTTCAAGAATAAATAGGATATATAAGGTAATAATCATGGAAACAGTTTGAAGTCTTTGAAAGAATTCTCTAAAAGGACACTTATTTTGTTTAGATTTTAAATAAAGGAAGAATTTTCATGCAATATGAAAAATTGAATACTTAAAAGATAGACAATGTCTACTTTACAAGCCAGTATTAACTTGCTACCAAAATCTGACAAAGATGCAAAAGATGAAAATGATTAACATTTTTCACTCAGAATATAGATAAAATAGAGTTTCAGTAATATTAAAATAAACTGCATATTTAAAGAATAATATGCCAAGAACAAATAAGAATGTAGTTTTATCAAATCTGTTTATCTTTTTTGGGGCTAGCAGGTAGCATGGTGATTAAGGGCCCTGGATTCCCACAGGGCTGACCGCAGTTCAAGTCCCAGACCTAGAGGCTTGCTTTCTCACTTTCCCTCTCTCTCGCTCTTTCCTTCTGGTCAAATTGAAAAATAAGTAAATCAATAAATAAAGTTAAATAAACTAATTCTTTTTTTTAAAAAAACAACCTGTTGGGAACCAGCAGTTAGCGTAATGGCTATGTCGCTGGACTCCCACGTAGTCGACCGCGGTTCACGTCCCGGACCCAGTGGCTTAAAACTCACGCTGGCCGTGTGTGCGTGCGTGCCCAAGATACCGAGAGGAGAATGGAGGAGAAGGGATGCGGCATGACCATCCCCCCTGGGACGTGATTTCTCTCTTTCTGTCTGTCTCTGTCTGTCTGGCGAGCACACACGCCCTATAGCAAAAATCTCTCAAAAAGAAAAAAAAACCTGTTGATCTTTTTTATCAGTAAACCCAGTGAAAAAAACACCACATAGCAGTTCTGTAGATTTTAGTGAAGCATTATTTTTTTAAAAAAATATTTATTTATCTATTTATTTGTTGTGATTTTCCAAGCCACTGGGTACAGGACTCGAACTGCCATTGACAATGTGGGAATCCAGTGCCTTAATTACCATGCCACCTGCCGGCCCCACCAAGCATTCATCATAAAATACAAATTCTTAGGAAACTAGAAATAGAATCTGGCAAGATGTATCTAAAGATATTTGTTGATAGCATTCTTGATAGTAAAACAGAAGGACAATGATTGACGTAAGAAATAAGGTCTTAAAAAAAAAAGAAAAAGAAAGAAGGCCTCAAAGGGGCCAGCAGGTGGTGTGGTGGTTAAGGTGCTTGATTCCTGCATGGCCAACTGTAGGTCAAGTCCCAGACCTGGAGATTTGCTTTCTCACTATCTGGTCAAATTAAAAAAATAATAATAATAAATAACATTTTTAAAAAAATAAAAAGCATTAAATATTTATTCAGAATGTTAGTAGATAAGTTAAGAAAAGTGAATTAAAGTGGCCAGCAGGT